TCAGAATAACTTCCATCATCTTTTTAAATGATTGTACTCTACACATTTATTTTTAAAAAAATGTTAGTACCACATTCCGACAATTTATAAGCTGAAGGCATCACAAAAATGTTAATGGCTCCTTCAAAACCTGGCAGAGAAAATAAATTTTCTATTGTTTTTTGTTTATTTAAGCAAAAGATGATTAATACAAATATCTAAATTCAAGTCCTTCAACTTTTTATTTTTCATTTAGCCACGGAATTTTTTAAAAAAAAAAATTGCAAAACATTTTAAATAATCTAAAAATGCCTTGAAATTTTTAGTAGGCAATTTTATTGGCACGTTTTTGTTTTGTTTTTGTTTTTTGTCACTAATCGAGCTGCCATTGTATATGAAAGAAAAATAAAACACAAATTTAAAATTCTCTTTAAAATCCAATATTTGTCCTAGAGTTGTATTTCAAAGTCAGTAAATTTAACACATAACTGGAATTTCTAAAAAGTAATACTTACATTTTACTTAAATGTAAATAAAGTTTTATTCTTTTATTTACACGCGGTAGCCTGTGAAATCAAAGGACTTAGAAACACTCATAATTCTATCCCTACTCGAAAAAGCGCGCTAAAATAATAAAACTAAAAGAAATACTGAAGACCAGCAGTGTAGTAATTAAAAATATTCTATCTTTTTCAACCAATTGCTTATGGTTTTAATAAACTTGAAGGTATTAAGGAGCTACCAAGACAAAAATATAGCGTAAATGGAATTTGCGTTAGGTTAAAAAAAAAAATTGAAAAGAAAAACATTTATCTATTCTAAGTATTTTTTTTATTTTTTTTTTAAATTATGGTATTTTTAAAAGTTTTAGGCGAATTAAATAGTTTCGTCGTAATTCTGAAAAGTTTCTTGGTGTCAAAGGGGAACAATTTATGCACCAAAAAGAAAAAGATTTTTTTTTAAAATAAAAAGCCAACACCTGTATCGGATATCACTCAGTGCTTTCAAGACACAAAAACTGACTGAGCGGGAAATATGAAATTAATCTTCCGATCGGATATTAGGACAGTATTCAGTCAAAGTGAGATATCAATTATTATTATTATATGTCCTTTTTGTACATCTATACAAAAAAATAATAGTTGCTAAAGAAGAAAATGAAATAAATAAAATTCTTTTAAAAAGGTTCAAACTCGAAAATGGCATTCATTTTAAAACTTTTTTTCCCTACAGACATGTTTTATTTAATTATATATATATTATATAATATACTAACCGAATTTTCACTTTACACCTGATTTATTTTTTTACTGAAATATTCAAATAAAGTAAACCATTAATGAATAAATACTGAAAATTTCGTTTGGATCGAATAATAATTCTCTGATTTTTGACAAATATTTAAAAAAAAAATGAAAAATATCCATTTCGATGGTACGTGTAATTGGTGATTTGCTAAAAGCGTATCTTAGATGTGACACAAGGCCGCAAATATGGAGCACCCAGTGAAAATCGAACTAGCATTTCAAAGGGGGTCATTTTTTATTATACTTTTTTACTAATTTTTTATAAACGCCCACCAATATTGATGGTTTATTTGCTTTTTTTGTAAGAAATTGCTTTTTAAAATAAATCTATGTAGAATAAATTTAAAACTTTTGTATCGTCCCCTGATTAATAAAATTTTAAATAAATTAATTAATTAATTAATCGGAATTTATTTTGAAATTTCTTATCCTTCATTTCACGTTTTTGTTTTAATTTCTAATTACCTTTATCCAGTGCTGTTGACAGGACTTCGTAAGCTTATAGCAAAAGCAAAAAAAGCACAATTGTTAGGTACTCGGTAAGAATCGAACTTGCTCGAATTATCTGCGAGAAAACTAGTTTGCCACAGAGTGGAAGTTAGTGAAGAATGAAGATCTATTGTCATGAATTACAAGAACGCGAATAAGCCACATTTCATTTTCTTTTTTTAATATTATGAATAAATTATATAGATTGAAAGAAATTTATTTTATTTCTTTGTCGCTTCTTAAAATCAATCTTAATTTTAAAAAAAAAAAAAAAAAAATTAAATTTTTAAATGGATCTGATTATATTTTCCTTCCGTAGATCATTTAGAGTTGCCGCCCTTGATTAGTATAAGGGAGATAATTCTCTCTCTCTCTTTTTTTTTTTTTTAATATATATTTTCATATATATTGGTCAACTTACAAATCGTTTGTATTTTGGATTGTTGGTTTGTAAAATTTTTTTTTTTTTTTCTTTTGATTATTTTATAATACTCATACTATTTTAAGCATTTTATTTCAGACAATGATATTGTCTTCGGTGGCTTAGCTGGTCTTCCTTCCATTTCATCCATAAAATCTCTCTTCAAATTTGGGTCCTAATCCTAGCAGCGTTCAATTTCGTTTTGCTTAACCACCTTTTTTTTTTTTTTTTTAATTTCAAAAACTTGGCAAAAGTTTCCATGAATCAAAATTGCAAACAGAAAAAATTGATTTTTATTTTTCATTATTGACTTTAATTATGTTAGCGTTTGAGGTTCGTTTAAAGAAATGGTTTTAAAGGAGTTTGAAAAATCTAAAAATGTCTTTCTTTAGTCTTTTTTTTTTCTTCCATTTTTACGTCATTGGGAAAAAAAATTAAATTTTTTCGTTAACCTTTTTAAAAAAAAAAATTGTAATTACTTCATATCTGACAATTTCTTGTCATACACAATGTAGACTACAATTGGATTGAATAGTCTGTATTTTCTTTATTTAAAATTTAACTCTTTTAATCATCCCAGCAAGCAAAGGCAATAAAGCCACGAAGACTTAAGGTGTTACTGAGTGAAGAAAAAAAACAGGTTTTAGACAAAATAACGATTGACATTGCATTTAAAGTTTTGCCATATTTATCCCTTACATGTAGGTACCTTCACAAAAACGCAATACCTAACGTTAAAAATGAAATTTTAATAAGGAAAAAATTTTCTTGGAGCTTTTATTTTAGTTTTAATTTCAACCTAATAGATTAAATTTAATATTTCCAGTAAACAAAATACTTTGTTAAATTGATTGGAAGGCGTTTTCATTTTGAAATTTCTAAAGAAAATTTTAATTTGGCGCCATTTTTTTTAGCAAACTTTTTTTTTTTTTAAACTTAAATCTCTTTGTAATGAGCTTTGTTTACAATATGATTAGCAAACAGTTTTACTTAATGACTCTTTCCTAAGAGTTAAAGAAAGATTTAAAAATATCACAAATTATTCTAATTAAAATTGTAAAAAGTATGAAAACAAATCTTGTAAAAAAAATTAATTTTTCATTAAAAAATTTTTTAAGACAATATGGTCCTTATTATTCACAAAAAGCAATCAAAAACTTGTCTGATTAAATAATGTCTTAATTTTATGTTTTTATTTTATGATTCAGAACAGATTTTCAGTAAGATAAAATATTTTTACCAAGATCTTGTATATTGAGAAGATTCCTCCTTTTCTAGTATGGCTAGGGTATGACTATCATTAATTATGATATGAAAAAAGGTTTTAGTGCATCACTGGACCCCCTACCCTCTCCACACTCTCCGCGCACACACACACACACACACACACACACACACAAAATTGGTAGGTGATGCATGCATCAGGGAAGGGGGTATTAGTCTGTCCTGGACAATTATTGCATGTACTAGTATATTGTAAAAATATTTATAAACTAAATTTGAATAAACCAAAATAAACAGAATTTAGTATCGTTGAAGTTATCAATTCCTCTGTTTCTTTGAAACTCTCTCTACTGTGTTTATATTTACAGTGGCTACTAGTGTGCGTTATCTTTTACCAGAATAAAATATAAACTTAAAAGATATGCAGGAAATAATATATTGCATTTTTATTAAATAAGTATTTATTTTAATTATTAAATTGTTTTTAAAATAGTTGGAATATTTTATATGTTAAATAATAAAGCTTTCAATTTAAAAAGAAAATGAATGAAAATTTATTGTACTTAAGCTAAACACTCTAGTAAAACCAACTGTACTTTGTATGCTCTTACCTGTTTGCTCTTCTCCCCATAATTTGGTTTTGATTAGTCAATCAATGTATGAGTGTGAAGGACAGACTAATGGAAGTCACAGAATTTTATATATAGATAATTAAAATTAAATTCAGCCTTCATCATCATTTATTCATTTAACGTATTTTGCATCACTTTGATCACTACTCCACGTAGTTCATGGTGACATTCAAGGCAAAATAGTGTAATGGCATACTGGCTCCTTTTACACTGGGGAAGTTACCCTGTCCCTCCTCTTGGAAGTCCTCTGCCCACAGGTAAAGTCATTGACCTCTGTGGCACATCTATGCCCAGGCTGCATAATTGCTGATGGCCGCTTGCCACAAGAGGATTGGAGAGATGTTCCTCTTCGTCAGTTAGAAAACCCTCTTCAGACTAGTTTAGCTGGCAGGTTGATGCCATTGACCAGGTGTAGCCCATGCAACTTCTTGGAACCATGTGTGAGAGTTGGATGTAGGCTGTGGAACAGTATAATTCCGCATCCATTTCACCTGAGTAAAGCAGTGCCGACCGCTTCATTGCAAAAATAGTACCATTAATGATACACCCCAAATTGAGCCATATTTTTTTTTTTATAGTAGTATTTGAGTAAGAAACTGCTCATTTATTTAAAAAAAAAAAAAAAAAAATGCTCCATTGTTTATATGTGAACAGGAGCTAATATCAATATAAATCTACTTGTGATTGGCAGTATCTAAATTTTACATAGTATATATGACACCCTAACACACATACACGCATGCTCAAAAACATGCAAATTTACACATGCTTGGCTACTGGGGTATGTTTTGTGCACATTTTTTGTTTCTCCAAGTTCTATCCACCTGTATTGGGGAATCTCTTCTTTTTTTGTATCATTATAACCAGTCTTGAACTGTTACCCAGTACCAGTATAAGCGGGTATGCATTTACATGGCAAGTGTTTAACAAGAGGTGTTTTGATTTCAGGAGGAATTGGCTCAATGGATCAAGACGATGAGAGTAGCCGAATGTTGGTGTTTATGGACAATTGCCATCACAAGGAGGTGCTGACTTCTCTGAATTTGCTTCAAAAAGGTGGCCAGTTTTGTGATGTCAAACTGGTGGTTGGCGAACATGAGATCTCTGCCCACCGTGCTGTTCTGGCTGCCGCGAGCAGTTACCTCTTCAAGCTATTCACAACATCTAAGGAGACCTCCCAGGTGCCATACATGTTTGAACTGAACGACCTGGACTACAAAAGCTTCCAGTACCTGCTAAATTATACTTATTCTGGACGGTAAGTAAAAGCCCCTGTTTTTAACCATTTTTTTTTTCTTATTCATATTATATAGTTAGTTGTTCTTTTGTTGAGTTTTCTTGAATTTTATACCCCATAATGATGCCTAAGTTTTTCTGATTTTTTTTTCTTTTTCTCCTTATTTCTCTCCCTGATGAAATGGTATTTTTAAGATTTGTTTGTTTGAACATGAAAATGTTTTTTTACCTTTTTATATCTTGTTTTTCACAGAATGAAACAAAAATTTAAACAAAAAAAAATAAATAAATAAAAATTGACATCTGGTGAGTTGTCAAGGGTAGGGGTGTATATATATATAAAAAAAAAAAAAAGTGAGCTTGTTACTGGCTCATATCTCTCTTTTTTCTTTCTTTTTTAAACAGGTAATTTTTTTTTTATTCCTTTCTATACATAGATGATTCATACACACTTTTTTTTTTTTTTTTTTTTTTATGTCAATTTGTTGAATGTTGTGGATGCCATTGTAGTCCTGTTGTTATCCAAAGTACCAGTGCTTCTGTCCTTAAAATAGTAAGACCATACCACAGAGGATGTCTCATGCAAGATCTCATCGTAAGGCGGTTAGGTTTTATTTGCTAGACAATGTACTTGGCTTTGGAGATTGATGCTTGGAAAGCTGTAGGCCTAATTCACTCCTGTCACACCGGCCACATCACTTCAAGTCTGTCCCCTGTGTTGACAAAGGCTGGCTTTTGTTGTGTCTAGCGAGGTCGCTATACAGGCTTTTGGTCTGTGCAGATTGGGTCTCCAGTGTAAAGTGAAGGCGATCTTATGTCACTTAGACCAGGGGGACAGGCAGTGTTCAATACAGTGATGTAATGGTTAGTGATTCAGAAATAGATCAGTGGGCCTAGTTTGAACTTCAGCTGAATTTGTTGCATTCATTTTTGCACAAATCCCCTTTGAAACAGTATGAATGCATTATCCAAACCCCCTGCTATAGGTTAAATAAATAGCAAGAATTCAGCCTGAAGAGGTTATTAGGTTGCCTTACCCTAGACACACCACTGCTGTTACAGCTGCAGTACATGTAGTACCCCTACAACCCTGATGGGTTATGGAACTTGTGAGAGAAATTTAAATCTGGCTAACCAGCTGATAATGCATTACAGATTCATGCTAGCAGGGGTCATTCTTGACTGTTAATTTCCTGCACGTGTTAGTCAGTTATTTGTCAGCATTTTTAAAAACTAGGAATTCCTGGGATGCATGATGAGGAAAGAAGGCCTAAAGAATTTAACACTCACAAGACACATTGAAGACAAGAAGTAGGTGAAAACAGCAAGTAACTTAACAATACATTCGAGTTATGAATTAATTTATTTTGAATGTTGTAGTTTATAACTTCTGTATATTATGAGAATTTTTTCTTATATACTACACTGATGTGCCGAATGATCTGGAATAGCAGTATCCAAAGGTAATGGTAGGAGGCACCCACTGTATCTTAATGTATTAGAAATGCCCTGACATAAAGACTGGCTAAGCTGTTTATGGCAAACTCTGGTGAATTTATCAAGAATTCAAATAGGGCATGATTAGTGGGTGCAAGACAAAAGGGATCATTCCAGTTCTGAAATTGTGGGAGCATTTCACACTCCATGACCTTGTGTAATGGAAATACTGGGGAGGTATTATTGTCCACTACAAGCAGCACAGTAGCCAATCACAGGTCCTCAATGACTGACCAGAGGTGCCTCACTAAAATCGTCTATAATAACAGACAAGTGACATTGGCTCAAATCACATCCACATTCGATACAGGAGGCACTTAGACGCAATATCCAAAGCAGGTTAATTCAGCATCTTTTAGATTCCATGGTTTATGGAAACAAGATCCCCCAGGGTGCTCCTGTTAACACTGCTCCTCACCTCTGATGCTGGAAATACTACAGTTCTAGTTGTTTCACCCTGATGATAGGCTCTGGGTGTAGCAAAAGACCCCATGAAGTCATGAACTCCAATTCTCAACAAGACATTTTGAAGGCTGGTGGCTTATTCATAATGGTTTATTTGTGTCATATGGATTAGGTCCATTTGTCTGCCAAAATATGCCACCATGTTTCACTGTTTAATGACCATTTGCACCTACAAATATCAGAACTTGTCATCTGTCAAGATAAATCTTTAGACCAGTGGTTCCCAACCGATTTTGGGCCATGCCCCACTTTGGTATTTCTAAAATTCTGGTGCCGATCCACCCCCTTCCTTGTAATATTTAATTCTTACATGTATGTTAATTATACATGTACATACATACTCACAAACTACTTTTATGTATGCATACTGTATATGCATTGTATGTATTAACACACATTAATATTAATACTCAGATTCACTAGAAAACAATTCACTGTTAATAACTCATTCTCAAATTCTGTTGGTATAGTAAGCCCACCGGTGGGAATCATTGCTTTAGACCATTGGTGTAGAATTGATGTTGCATTGAAATATTTGCACTTCATTGGCCTATGGGACTAAGAAATACTAAGAAACTAATCAGTGTCTTTTGGTACATCAGTGTAGTGATTGATTTGAAAAAGTTTTTAGCCTTACCAAAATGTTTCTAAAATCAATTCTGATGTTTTGATCAGATTTTGGGGAAACTGGTTTGGGCCAATAACTTTTCAGCACCTTCTCATACATTCTTCTAAATTTTATTTTAAAATCTAATTTAGAAAAAAAAGAATCTTTGTATCCTTTCTATTTTGTTTAACCAAAAACTTTAATTTTACAACTTCTGAAAAATTTACTTTATTTTCTTGCTTTGTGTTCTCTCATACTTATTTTCTACATTTTTTTTTTTTTTTTTTTTAATAATGATTCTATCTAATTTTGTTTTCATTGATTTAAAATGTTTGCATTTGCTGATTTTCTTTTTTTGTTTTTCAGCACTTTCTTGATTTTTAGGCATTTTGTTTGAGGGGTTTTTGTTGATTGTTTTAAAAGTGGTAAACATTTTGGGATAGAATTTAAAGCTCAAACTTTAGAATTTAGTTACTGATTAAATTATAAATTTTCTGAGCTGGGCATTTGGAAATTTCTGGATTGCCTTACATAAAACTATTGGTGCAATTTAGGTTGCAGAGAAAGGAAATAAGTTCATTTAATAAAACAGAAAAAAATCTGAAAAATATCAGTAGATGAATAAAAATGTAATATGTTTGTTATTGAATTTCTTGAATTCTGGAATAATTTAATTTTGTTTATATCTTCGTCTTTATTATTATTATTATTAATTTCATCCTTGTTTTCAGGTGAATTGTTTTTGTTGATTTTTTTTTTTTTTTTTTTTTTTTTTTTTCTCCGTATGTGTGTGTTTCAATCTCTACCCTGATCATTCCACTTTCGGCTGTTAGTTGCGTGTTCATTCTGGTTACATGTACTCAATTATTTTAATCATTCTCATAAAATCATTTTTGTCTTATTCTGTCACTTATTCACTGCTTTTTCTTCTTCTCTCTCTCTCTCTCTCTTTTCCTTTATTTGCAGTAATTTTTTTTTTTTAGTATTTTTTTTTTTATGTTCTTTTCTTTCATTCTTTTCTTAGAGACTTTTTTTTTCCTGTTTCATTTTTAACTTTTTGTTTGCAAAGCTCTCTATCTCTTTTCTTTCCCACCCTTTTCCCAAGAACACCCCTCCCTCCCTCCCTTCTCTACAAGAAAAATCTCAGCTTTATTGCCAGAACATCAGTATTTTCAATCAAGGAGGGGGGTGCTGATTATGAGAAATAAATAAAATCTGTAAAAGAAAAAAAAAAAATCTACATTATTGGTGGGAAATTTGAAAAATTCTTATCTGACCAGAATGAACACATTTCTCACTCTACTGCTTCTGGTTGGCACCCAACATGCAACATTTTTTTCTTTCTTGTCTGTCAGCTAAATTTTCTACTCACAGACAAGGCAGATTAGCATCTTGGTGTCAACCAAATTATTGCACAGTTTATATGTGTATTACCGTCAAGATTTTGTCTCTTTCTCCCCCCCCCCCCCTGTTTTTTGGTCTGTCGGAGAGGGAGGGGTTAAATTAAAAACCTTGTAAAAATTCTTTTCTTTTTTCTTGGCAGTATTTTATTTAATTTTCTTCTGGTAATTGAACCTTTGAACACATTTTTAAAAAAATTTTCTTTCTAATTTCCTGCTGATAGAAATTGTATTTGTTAATATATTAATAGCTACAATACAGAGTTAAGCTTGATTTTTTATATATATATATATATATATATATGAAGACTATTCTTCAAGCAAGGCTATTTTGTGGTTGTTTTAACAGAAAACAAAGTTGAAGTTTCCTGTTTTTAACTCATCTGAAATTTGAAGAAAAATTTTCTTGTGGGAAAACAATATCTGAAAAAATGAAATCTAAAGCCATGTTGCAATTAAAAGATTGAATTTGATCTTTTAAAAGAGAATTTATTTATTTTTATTTTTCATTTTAAAGAAAGAAAAAAAAAAATTGGCTCCATAATTTTAAATCAAGATTTTTATTTTCTCAATATTTTTTATCAAGCAAATGAGTTGAAAGGCAATTACCAGTGCTGTTATTCTTGTTGAGGCAACTGCATTCACACTGGACTATTTCAGACATTCAGTTAACATTTGATTCTCTTAGAAAAATGCAATAAAGTAAATGTTCTTATGTAATTGTTTCATTTTAAAAATCATTCTTGCAAAATGGTTTACAAGTAAGGCTTGAGTTTAAACCCGAAATGTATGAATACTTATTCTTATAATGAACATTACATAACAATAAACCTAGTATACTTTTTTTAAGTGAGCTCATTCCTGTAAAGATGTCTACAGGCCTCCTTCACACACATATCACTGTAGATATAGGTAGATAATGAAACAAGTAGCCCCAAGTTTTAATGTGTGGCTCCAGTAATTAACTGCAGGTGAATTGGTACAGAGTAACTAGGCCAGTCTGGTTGGCTATTGCTCCTGAGTAGTGAGTTCAATCCCCACTGGGTGCCCGATATAAAATTCAACATTAAATAATCTAAGGATTGACATGTCATAAAATCTACCAACTTACCCTAAGCAATAAACTGTTTTTTTTTTGGGGGGGGGGTGTTTGTTTTTTCTTCTTCTTCTTCATAGTAATTGAATCTGTGTGACAGCATTTATCTTCTCCTCCAACTATGGGTTAATTAAAGACTCGTACCATTATAATTGCCAAAAAAGAGTTGATAAACTGTAGCAGATGAATCAATCTATCAATGTTTCTTCACAGTATCTATTTCTTTATTGCCTGTGAATTGCTATGGCATCTTTGGGGGAAAGATAATGGAGTAGTTTCCTTGTTGCTGTCTCCACAGTTTTTGAATTCAAAGTTGTGTTGCCACCCACTGCTGCTCATAGCCAGGCAGAGAATAGACGGATGCATATCTTTCCCAAGAGCATTTATGTGAAAGTGAATGCAATGTGCTAAGCCAAAATTTGAAGTTAACACATATAAATAGCATTCATTAAATGGCTAATAAAAGTTTTTCAACATTTTTAATTTACATAGAAGAAAGAAATTAGCTTTCTCTTCTGTATTCAGTGTTTAGATTTTATAAAGGAGTGCTGAGAACATTTGTACACAATGTATTGGGGGTGTTTCTTGCAATTTTCATGGTCATACAATTTATATTTATTTATTTATCCCCCCCCCTGTCACTATTGTTTAACTTGTATAAAGCTACAATTATTAATATATGGAGGGTGTTTATAATAGACTCAGCTTGTAAAAGGTCCTTTGTGAATGCTGTCTAACTTTAGTGTTAAAACCTGATTGTCCCTCCAATTTCTTGACGGTGCTACACCCACAGGTAAGTTTAAATGCTGGAATGTACGGTAATGAGATGTTCTCTTTGTGCCTCCTGCAGGCTTGAGGTACCACGAGCTGAGGTAATGACAGTGTACACAGCAGCCATGCAATTGAGGATTGCTTCAGCAGCCAAGGCCTGCTCAGATTTCCTGATGGCTAACCTCTCCCCTTCAAACTGCCTTGGTATTTATCCTTCTTGGGAAACTTCTGTCATATTTTGTCAGTTTTTTTTTTTTTTTTTTTTTATCTTTTTTTTTATCTTCTTTTTACAAACCATTATTATTATTATTATCTTTATTATAATTATTATTATTCCTTTGTACATACATTCTCTCCTTGCAGCTGAGAATGCTTTGTTTCTTTTTTTTTTTTTTTTTTTTTTTAATCCCTCCCCTTTTATGCAAAACATCTGCACTGATTGGAAACCTTCAGTTTTTTTTTTTTTTTTTTTTTTTCTCTCTCTCTCTCTTTTATATAAATATATACACATGTCTGCAAGTTGCATTTCTTGAATATTATGTGTGTACATATATAAAAAGGTGTGGGGGTAAAATGGAGGGGGGAAAGTTTTTTATTATTATTTCTCTCTCTCTCGCCCTCCTCTTTCCACAAATTTAAAATTGTTGGGTTTAAAAACAAAAATTTCAACAATTTTTTTTTTTTCTCCGTGCAACCTGTATGAAAGTGACTGCAAGAGTGACAAAAAGATTCTGATTGTTGTAATGGTTGGGAATCTTTTTTATTTATTTATTTTTATAATTATGATTATTATTTTTCCTTTTTTTTTTTTTTAATAATATAATTTAAAATGAACAAATTCAAATGAGATGTAGATTTTAATGCATTAGATGCAAAATAAAAATTATGGTGAGGGGATAAATCTTTTCCTTATTTCATTTCTCTATTAGTTAATGGAATAAAAAAAAAAAAAAAATCTTCCATCCATTCAAGACCCCCCACCCACCTAGCCCTTAGAAGAAAAACTTTACTTTTTTTTTTTCTTTTTCTTCTTGTATAGAAAATTAAATAAAAAAAAAATAGAATTTAAAAAAAAATAAATAAATAAATAAAACTCCAAAAAGAGAGAAATTTGTAACTGACCTTTGAATGCTCCAAGATGAGTCGTCAGTGATGTTTTCCTGACTTCATTAAAAGTTTTTTTTTCTCTCAACATCACACTCTTTTTGCCAGATAATCCCGCTTGTGTTGATCAAATACAAGCTCTCATCTTGGTGATCATGCTTGCTTAAGCGTTTTTTTCTGTTTTGGCTGCATCTATGCAAGATTTTGTCTAAGTAATTTGCTTAAGATTTTCATCTGCAATTTAGGATAAAAATTACTTTTGTTTTAATACA